CCGTCAACTTTTTCCAGCTACAAATCTTTGTCTACAGCTGCAGTGTCCGCAAGGGGGGTCACCGCCAAACCAGGGATAGTCACGCAGGATGTTGCCCTCGCGGTTTCGGAGACACCATCGCCATTCATGATCAACAACGCTTCGGTCACTATCCCACCATCACTCCCGTGCTTTGCAGTCGAGGAAACCCCAGCACCGGCCGCGAACGAGATAACCCTGACGATCCCAGAAATGAAAATCACCCTCACAATACCGCGGGGCAGGTCTCTAGCCTGGGTCGTGTCGCGTCTCGCCCAATGGTTCCACAACCCAACGCGCGGCTACACACTTGGCACCTTTCTGCTGCATACGAAACCACTAACTAGTGAGGCGGTATGGAAGTCAGTTGTTTCAGATGATCGAATTACGAAGCTTAAGTTGATCCAGTCCAGCTGGGGATGGGGAGGTGCAGCCTGATGAGGAGACTATCGCCGTCTACGTTGGTTGCTTGGAACGGGGCGTGGTCTTTTCACGCAAGACTCCGCTGATCTGGGCTGTTTCCCGCGTTGCCGAGTGGTTCTGGCAACCCGGAGACGAGTAAACGCAGCTGGCTTTCCTACCGGAACGGGAAAGGCGAGCTGTGAAATTGGAGGACGAGGATGCGTGGCAAGCTGTTGTCGACGATCCGGCGGTCAGGACAATCATATTTCCGGCCAGGTAAAAGTATCTTTGTAAGATTGGGCGGGCACCGGAGGAAGCGGGAATTTTGGGCATACTGTCAATGTTCAACAGGTTCTATCTTCTAGCTAGCTCGCAGTCCAATTGTTGTTTTCTTCGCTGGAATCCTTCACTTCTCCTTCGGTAGCATTGTCACGCCGTCATGATTCACTATGTGGTTTGGTTCATGATCATCTATGTCTGTATATGTCGGTCTCCGTTTTTTTTTCCCAATCACCAAGGGGTCGTCCGATGCCATTCACTTCGCGCCGAGTGATACCCAGTTCTGGCCGGCAGCCTGAGATGTTGGCACATCAGGAGAAAGGTTCTGAGTCCGCATGTTGAGATATTTTAAGTATAGTCTGCTACAAGTGACCTTCTTTATTTGTCCGCAGCCTCGTACTATATGCCACTTAATGCTTTGTGCCATTGGATCGCAGAGTAAACTTTTGAGGATATCCTGTCAGACAGGATCATGGCAATTGAACAGAAGGGCAGCAACGCCTATATTATCGAATGTCGAGCGAGTGAGTCACAGTGCCGCACCCTCACAGTGTCACTTGACCCAGATTCACAAGGACACGCCGATTATGCTTCAATCAACCCCACCTCATCCGTACGGACATCAATGTTTGCCTCGCACCTCCGCCGCCCGATAAAAGCTTCAACTCCCATCTTTATCCCCGGCCGTCTCAGTCACATCCACCATGGGCAAGAGAGCCCCGGCGCCGACTCTGGGGTATTTACCCTTTTGTGCCCTCACCTCCAACAGGCACCGATCGCCAATCCACCACCCTCCCTCGCAGACCCGCAACCCCCGCAGGCTTCACCGCGACCATGAAGGCCAAGACCGAGCCCGACAAAACCGCAGGCTTCACCGCGACCATGAAGGCCAAGACCGAGCCCGACAAAACCGCAGGCTTCACCGCGACCATGAAGGCCAAGACCGAGCCCGACAAAACCGCATCTCCCGATCTTGCTCGCCCGACAATGAGCAACCCATCCCAGAGCACACTCGCGCCCACCGCCTCCCGCTTCAACAACCCCGGCGGCGGAAATGGCTCACGCGCAAGGGCGCTGGAAAAGCTATACGCCGAGGCGCGGCGCATCGACGAAGCGCGTATCGAGAAGGCAAAGGAGATACCGCAGATGATGGAGCAAGGGAGACTCAGCTTCGAAGAGCTTCAGCGGAAGCACCAGGAAGAAACCCGGAAGCGGATGCTCGAAGTCCTTCAGCGGAAGCGCCAGGAAGAAGCCCGGAAGCGGATGCTCGACGAAGCGCGTATCGAGAAGGCAAAGGAGATACCGCACATGATGGAGCAAGCGAGACTAAGCTTCGAAGAGCTTCAGCGGAAGCACCAGGAAGAAACCCGGAAGCGGATGCTCGAAGAGCTTCAGCGGAAGCGCCAGGAAGAAACCCGGAAGCTCGACGAAGCGCGTATCGAGAAGGCAAAGGAGATGCCGCAGATGATGGAGCAAGAGAGACTCATCTTCGAAGAGCTTCAGCGGAAGCACCAGGAAGAAACCCAGAAGCGGCTGCTCGAAGAGGAGCAGAAGAGGCGTAAGAAGCGCGTGCTGGCGCAGCGAGCGCGCCGTGAGGAAGCTATGCTGAGGAAGTTGGTGGAGGGGCTCAAGATCCACCAGCGATTGCAGGAGCAGCAGGCAACGATTGTGAACGGCAATGGCCAGCCGGTGGACGTTGAAGGAGTTGCTCCTGCAGCCGCCGAAGCGACGAGCAAGCAATGCCTTGAATCTCAGGATAAACATCTGCCGACTACGCCAGAGAAAGAAAAGACTACTTCACAGGGCAAGAAAATGCCTGACGCTGCTCAGAGCAAGATCGTGACCAACGGTTTTGATGATTGGGCATGGAGATTTGGGCTCCCAGTCAGGGTTATACTTACTGCTGACGGTAAGTCCAGCCTTGCATCCTAAAAGACCGCGATTTAATTTTCAGAGAAATATTAACTGGAAGCAGGCACTTGTAAGATTGACCCCGAGGATGTTGCAGCTGCGCTTGCGCGTTAGACGCTTAAAGCCAGCAAAAATGAATAGTCCAATACTGCAGTACTTTCGAATTGAATCCGTTCACATCGAGCAAGACCGGGGGCTGAGATTCTACAGACTGACAGCGGTCTACTGATTGTTTGTGAACACGCGGTTTGCGTACAACGTGCAAAACGGTCCCTTTGGCCATTAGGGTCTACCTAGCCACCGATTTAGAGCCTAAAACGCCCCGTGCATCCCATTACGACCACAAACGTTATCACCAATCAAATCGATCGAGCGCATGTCTGTGCCACGATATGATAGCAAAAAACATGTATTAAAATCACTGTGAATTTTGACCGCGCGAAAACTAAGCTAAAGACGACAATTCCTCCTAATCTGACTCATCCACCTTGTGAAGGTCCAGCACATTATATGTGCATACATGCCTCGGAGCTAGCTTGAAATACAGCCCGGCTTCGGGAAAGAACGAGTGCTCTTCAGTGAAGCGAATACGGTGTACATGCTTGAAGTTACCTGTTGTCATATTTGACTGACATATCGTGCGACCAGTTGTCATATTTGACTGACATATCGTGCGACCAGCAACGCCAAAACTAGCAGACTGGCAGTACCAGCCCGCTGGTGAGAACGATGAAGGCTCTGAATCAGCAGGTGGAGGAGCAGCCAGTGGTCAGCATGGCCAAAGAGGTGAGGAAAGCCATCGTGGCCCCATCTCCAAGAAGAAGTTGGACACCAAGAATGCTGCTTCTCGCGTGATGTCACAGGGCTGAAGGCGGAGATAGCTGCCACCTCTTCCACCACCTGCCAAGGACGGCACGGTGGTCACGTTCAAAGACTCCCGACTAGGTTCACGCGAAAAAAAAAACGAAGAGCAACTGTTGGGCTCTACCTCATGTTCTATCGAGTAGGTAATGCCGGTAAAGATTCTGAAACTCCATCTTTTCTAACTGAGAAATGGTATATGCAACTGCAACCCCTCCCCCCACCCCCAACCAAATATTTACACAAGATGTTTGGGCCGGAAACTAACTTGCTCTTCTCTAGCCATCCTCCGCTTTTCCGCGGGACAAGACATCGGGCCGCTGCCTGATACGCAGCGCAGCTTTATGCCAGCAGTTGGCCCGGCAAACTGCGAATACCTTCACAGACAGAGACGGCTTTCGATGTTATAGACCCTTACATGTCGAGGCCAAGAAACGTGCTCTACAATGTCCGGCCACTTCCCGTGGACGAAAACGTAAAGATCATCCTGCCAGATCACCAGCGAGCCTTAACAAAGCTCTTTGCATCGGAGCCAATAAAAGCGTACAGCAGCTTGAGAGCGATCAAAGGGGATGGGAAAGCCTATCCAGGGAATTAATCGAAGTTGGGGGGGGGAGGGTCATTTTGGGTCGTGCCGGGCTTCATTGCGTTCCAGAAGAATCTAAGCAAATACGGCCTTGTTGTGAGTTTTCTGCCCTTCCCAGCCAACGTCCACGGCTAACGGTCAATAGAAACGTCCAAAAGCTGCCGGCGGAGACGGTTTCGGTGTCCAACCCCCCTCGGCAGTGCACGCTGAGTACCAAGCTCTGGAGGAGTTTCCGTGGATCTTCTCAGCTGGATAGACTCGACAAGGACATTACCCAGCTCCAATCCGGGCTTGCGTCAATGCGAGCTGTGCTTCAGCCAACTCTTGCCGCACCGCCCCCGCCGACCCACTTCTTCCTGCGGCGCACTCCCGAAACGCACCGATTCCACTGACACCCGCTCGGTGGGTCAGAATTTGACGAATTCGATTCCGAGAGCAACGAGGGCGATTCTGGTTCTTCGGCCGGCTCTGAAACAGGGAAAAAGAAAAAAAAAAGAAAAAAGAAAAAAGAAATTTGAAGATGTGTTTGATTCTCAGAAGAGGAGTGAGTCGGTTTGCTCAACCGTGTGCAAGTGTGAATGTACATTACATTATATGGAGGCATGCAGCATTGCGGATATGGCCCTAGGAGTTAAGGAAAACCGTTATGGCAGCATATGCAGTACCTGAGCTATAAAACACCAAAAATGCGCAAGAAAACAGCATTCACAAGTTTCAAAGCGAAGACTGCGGACGAATAGAACGCCACCTTGGACTCGCCGAAGCACGGACAAAATCTGTAATAACCCAAACAGTTCTCGCGGCCACGTGATGGGGGCAACAGCAAGAGCAGGGGGAAATCTTATTTACACATCGTTTTTCTATATTTTCATCTGGTAGTTTTTTTCCTCCAGCTTTAGCTTGAATGGATATTAATCCCTCAGACTACTACATATCGTACATCGGTGGCATGGCGCAATGGCAGCGCATCGGTTTCCGGTACCGGAGGTTGCAGGTTCGAGTCCTGCTGCCATCGTTTCTTTTTTTGGGTTTCTTGGGATTGCCTCTTTTGAAATAACGACTTGGCGGAGGTGTGATACTTTGGGAATCTGTACTCTGCACCGCAAATGTATGTATGTATGTATGGCTTGACTCTCAACGGCAAGACGACTGAGCGAAAACGATCAAGTGTGGATGGCGCATGACATTTCCGGGCTCTTGGTGTTTGAGTCGGCACGTTATGTAAATACCATCCAAAAAGCGATCCTATCTACAACCCAGTACCGAGCCGCGCCGAGCCTGCTGGTCCAGTAATTTACAGCAAGAAAAGGGAGGCGGTGGTTCCAGTGGGTGTTTGTTGTATGATGCAAATCACCCAAGCGTCCTGCGAGGATCCGGCTCGAGTGGGCCGGTTCGTTGTGCATCACTCGTAGAGTGTCAACATAAAAGCGATCACTCGAGGAGTGCTGGCCTATCAAGTCCCGGGATCACGTGAGAATTTTTTTTGGCCGACGCTAGCGCCCCGACCGACTATAAAACGCCCCGTTCCTTCCTTCCTTCCCTTCTTTCTTCATGTCGACTTTACTTCATAGTAAGAAGCCCCCAAACATTACCACCAAGTTATATCGTAACAAATGCTAACTACCCCCAAGGGATCATTTCTATAGTAAATCGTCTCATCTGAACTCTTTACAAGAGCCACAGATTAATCTCCAACCTGGTTGATGATCGATATCCTCGCCGCCCAAGAGTGAAGCCTTTTTTGCCGGTCCTTCGGGACCGGTGGTGATGATCTCGACCTGAGTTTTCGTATACCTTTCGGGGTGGAAACGAGGGTGGGCGGCGATGGAGGTCTGACAGGCTCTTTTTTTTTTTTTTTTTTTTTTTCTTTCGCATTAGGCCGTTGGCGTAGTGCTTAGGAATGAAACATCCTCATGCAGTGGCTATTCTACTGTTATGAACCAAAAGACTTTATAACACACAACAGAGATAAATCCAACCACCTAAACAATATCCTTGCTCTCAACCACAGTGGAAAACGCATCCGCCATCTCGGCCAACGCAACCTTGACCAGCGTCTCCGCGTCGGCGCCAGGGATGTGGCGGTCACCAACGCAGTCGCTGGGGACAATAACATCGTATCCCTTCTCGAAGGCAACCCTCACAGTTCCGCTGATGCACACATGGGCCATGTATCCGACGACGACCAACTTCTTCTTTCCAGTGGCGTTGATGAGTTCCTCCAAGTTCGTTCCTACGGGGATCATCCATCCGTCAGCGCCCTCCAAAGATATGCGATATTGGGACAACCCACCGGTGAAACTGATCGGCGCAGGCTTCTTAATCACCTTCTCCCCCTCCTTCGGGGCCACCCCCTTCCACGGCTCCGCGAGCTCAGTGCCAACGGTAAACACCGGCGCGTCGGGCGACGTGTGGTGGTGGATATGGATGATGTCTCCACCGGCGGCACGGTAGCGCTCGAGCAGCTGGGCACTAGCTGTAGCCGAAGTCACAAAGTTGTGGATTTGTAGCTTGCCGTGCGCGTATTCGTTCTGGATGTCGACGAGGAGGAGGACGGAGTCCCTCGTGGTCGCGGTGGAGGGGGGGATGGCGAGGATGGAGCGGAAGGAGGTCATCTTGATTTTGGCTTGAGGCGGTATTATCGATGGCACGGGAGGAAAGGAGCTTTTGAGGCCGTGGAAACGCGGGGTAGAAGATGCAGACATCCGATGGATTAGTGAGCACCAAGCAGCTAATTAGGTAATTGGTTCCTGCAGGCTGTGGCGATCGCTGGCTAACGGGGGCGGGGGCGGGCGGCACCGGACATCTTCGGCTTGCTTGCCGCACCACCGCCTTTGCCGCCGTCAAGTAATAATCTTTGCCGCAAGGCGTTTCTCGGCTTATGCGTAGCGTCTGCCAGCGCGTCTGGTTGGTCAAATATAAAAATATAAAAATACTCCAGGCAGATTTGTTAGAAAACGTACTACTTGTACGAGTGAGCGATCATGAGCGTGAGCCCAGGAGTATCCCGTTCTCTGTCCGCAGAAGCCGTAGAAACGGACAATGGGGGTCATATGGCATTGGGGATGGCGGCTTGATTTCTTCTTTCGGGTACACATCGGTTCTTTCCGCAGCAGTTATCGACTGTGCACATTTGAATGCCTCTCGACTCGGCTACGGGATAGAACTGAGTCACATAGCGATATCACAAATACTGTAATGTAAACATGGCCCTTTTATTCTTGAAAATTTCAAATCACTACTTAGTCTCCTGCGTGCCAGCGCCGCCACCATTCTCAGTGCCAGTGACCGGCGGTCTGGGAGGCCTGGGAACATTTATACTAATCTCAGCGAGCGGCTTCCTATCCTCGCCAGCACAATCCTCAAAACCGAAATCGAAATCGTCCAAGTCCCGCTTTGCAGGGCCGGCACGCTTCCTGCCGGGGCGCGGCTCGTTCTCGATTCCGGGGAAGTGGGGCCCAGACGGCCGCGGGATGTTGATGTTGATTTCGCTCAGCGGCTCCCGCTCGTTCCATTCGCAGTCCGGGATGTCGAAATCGAATTCGTCGAGCCCGCCGCGCTTTACCTGGTGCGGAGGCCGGATCAGGTTTTTATCGACGACCAGGTCGCGACGTTCCGGGCGGGGACGAGTCGGCGAGGGCTCGGTTACTTCGAGGGGCCGCTCCGCCGGGAGGGCGAGAGCAGCGGTGAGGGATAGAGAGGTGAGGGCGAAGAGGAGGTTGGCGCATTTCATCTTGGGATGACTGATTTGCATGGGAAAGCCGAGGGGGGATAGCGCGGGTATTTATCTTTGCCCCGCTGCTTGCGAACAGCGGATTGAGTTACTGTGGGAAGTCAAGATCGGGCGATTCAGTCTTAGATTGCGTAGACGAAAGCATATATGAAGAGACTCCATCGTTTCCCTACGGCGATATTCCGCGCCGGGAAAATGTAAGTTGAGTCTATGGGATATCGATACGTTTCATGTGGCCAATTCAGGGACCGGCCAGGGTCTTTCCCGCTGTCAGATGCCATGATCTCGCGACTGTTACCCCGCCTTTTTATGCAGGGACGTCAGTGCTTCCAGAACTGTGCTGAAGGTCTAGACCTTCGAGACATAGATGATGCGATGATGCGAGGTGGGCTCACGATGTGGCGGCTATTGATTCGATTCGATTTGCCGCTTTGCGCTGCGGTGAGGGAATGGCGCGGCTTAGCCGCTGGCGGTGGTGCCATGTTCGTGGGGCGGCTCAAGGGAGAGATTATTGGGCTACTAGGTATACCTTCGGGGCGATGGGCGTCATTGACTGAGATCTAGATCTAGTTGCAGTCGAGCGCAGACCACAGGTGGCGCAGTGTGGCCTGGTTGTGGCTTGGAATTGACATAACGGGGAGCGATGAAGACACAAGCCTCTGAAGGTTTCTATCCCGATATCTTTGTCAAAGCTAACCCAAAGCTTTTGGGTCACACCAAGGGTTGCTTTTTGATCGAAGAAGGAGCGCGTTGGCTTTGTTTACTCCAGTGATGAGTCCGGCTTATGGGTGGCTTTTGATGGAGCGAAGGTTTAGCCTGCTTTTTTGAGTCTCAAAAGGAACTTAGCGGTGGAAATGTTCCTTTACGAGCGTAATTACCAAGATTATACAGCTTCCTACAGGTACATTTCGAAATAAAACCAAAGTAAAACCCTTTCAGGCGAGGAAGCGAGCGACAATCTATGAACATCGAACACAACCACCGGCGGTGTACACGCAAAAGAGGGCGATTGAAAATAAGGTAAAGTCCCTCACCAGTTGATGGTGGAAACCAGTTGATAGTGGATGATGAGATAAGATAAGAGATATGCCTAAAGCGGTAAGGTCGCCCGCCTGCTCACCCCGCGCCAGACAGCTACAACGCGCTCACTACATGGAAAAAAAGACAAGAAATGCAACACGGCGCGCTCAAATGAAGAAGGGTAGTTTACTGCTACATAGAAAAAGACAAGGAATGTAACACGGCTCTATCATTTCGTGGCCGGGGAGCCGCCGCCAGAGTATCGCATTGGCAAGTGTTTCGATCATTTGACGGTTGGGCGGGATACTAAAATCGTCCATATATCGGTCAAGCAGTGCTCGCTCCTCTGCGGGAAACAGGTTCTGCTGTGCTGGTATTACTTCGCCACTAAACTTTGGCTCCCTTTCGGGATGCAAAACTTGGTTTTGAATAGATGATGCTGGTACGTTGAAATCTCGGGAAAGCTTCGCAATATTTGGTTTTTTTCCGGGCTCAAGATCCTTTTGTTTGGCAAAATACATTTCCACTGCTAATTTCAGGCGCTCTTTTGGGTTATAGTCGCGGTCCGGATCAAAACCCAAGGGTTTATTGGTCTCAGGCATGCTTAATGGCGCAGATTGTTCGTGGATATGTTGTTTGGCGGCTTCTACACAGGCCGGGTGATCACAGGAAATCACTCGACCGCTGAACCTTACCGTTTTAGGCATATCTCTTATCTTATCTCATCATCCACTATCAACTGGTATCCACCATCAACTGGTGAGGGACTTTACTTAGGTCCAGTGAGTCGAAGTATTTATGGGTAGGCTTGTGAGTACGGCCGTTAACGCGTTGCTCGCCCTTTCTTGTTGTCGAGCGAGCTCACGCAGATCGCAGGTCTGCCCAGAAACATCTAGAGGTAGCACCCGTCATGAAGGTACATACAAACAAGCACTCGGGGCTGCCGCTCCGTGAGAGCTAACGGATTGCAAACTACTTCCCTTTCGAGAGCCTGCTCCCATCGAGCAAGAATGAAGTTACGAATCATGAACACGCACTCAACATCCGACATCCCGACCACCGCAACCACACACAGCTCCTCGTGGGCCCTCTGCTACGAATTACAACCTCCAAAGCCAATCCTCCTGCAATCTCCACCAAACATGACATGTACGGCCGCGAGTTCGCCAATAGCGTCTTCGGAATCCCATCTTGGGGCCTGTTACCGAAGATGTAGAGATGAGGGATGCTCTGGACAAAGAAGATGGGTACGCTCCTACTTG